TCTTTCTTTCTTTCTTTCTTTCTTTCTTTCTTTCTTTCTCTTTCCTTTCTCTCTCCTTCCTTCCTTCCTTCCTTCCTTCCTTCCTTCCTTCCTGCCCTCCCTCCCTCCCTCCCTCCCTCCTTTCTCCTAGCTGTTCTGGCTGGATTTTCCAGTACGAAGCTGGGCCCGGGGGTCCTTCCTATCTCGTTCTCGGTCTTGAGGGAAAGCCTTTCACTGACCCCCTCCAGTGTGATCTGAGCTGTGGAAAACTGTCTGTGGGCTGTGTTTGGTTGAGGTCAGTTCCTTTTATACCGAATTTGTTGAGTTTTTATCATGAAGGGATATGGAATCTTGACGAGCGCTTTTTCTGTATTTATTGAAATGATTTAAAAAATAAAGGTCCAGAATGGGCAAATCGTCTATCGTCCTACCACCCTGAACATGCCTGATCTCGTCCGAAGGGGCAGACTCGTAGAGCCAGGAAGGAGGTAAGTTGCTGTGTGGGGCTGAGGCGGGGGTGCGCAGGGAAGGACTACCAGTGGTCCGGGATCTCCTGGGCTGCGCTCGTCACACACAGGCTGTCTGATATCCGAATTGTCTCTCATTAAAGGCAAGGATCCAGGGCCAGCAACTTTTGGCTTCCTGGTGAAAAACTGCCTCCAGAGCTCCTGGGACAGAAACCTGATGGCCAGGAACTAGGCAGGGGTGGCAGGCTGCTCAGCCCCCGGAGAAGGGACGCAGCCCACGATGGTCAGCCCCTGAGGGGAGTGGGCTGAGGAGGGGACATCCAGGCTGCCCCCAGCCCTCCCCGCACAGTGGCAGCCAGGGCTGACAGTGGAGGAGGGAGGCCGCGGCTGGGGCGTGAAGGCAGCGGCCGAACAGTCTGCCATCGAGTGACAGTGTGGAGAAACGAGGCAACTGGGAATAAAGAGCAGCGAGCCTGCTGCAGCCACAGCCGCCCAACCCGCTGCGTCCGCGAGGAGCAGGCTCGGAGTCAGGCCCCACTCGTAGCAGGCGTCAGACGCAGCCGCACGGCTGCGTGTCTGCGGATGGACCCCATTGTCCCTGGCTGCGATGGGGTCTCCTGCAAGCAAGCAACTTGAAAAAAAAAATGAAGAGACAATGCCTGACACACTACAGAGTGCAGAGCAGGGCCAACTGGGAGCCTCGCCGCTAATGGGCCAGCTGGCGCTGCGCCTTTAGCTCAGCTACGGCCAGAGGTAGAGTTCAAAATTGTCCTCCAGACCACCGCAGAGCCCAGGGGAGAAGCCCCAGGCGACCGTGCATGGCGGTCGGGAGACACATGCTAACCGCCAGCCCCATGCTGGGCTCAGGCGGCCCTGGGGTGCAGGGTGAGGGGCACGGCTGGGGTGAGGGGCACGGCTGGGGTGAGGGTGCCTAGGGCCTCTGTGTGCTCCCTGCGCAAGAGGCCAGCCTCCACATGCCCTGCTGCGTCCCAGCCCCAGGGGCCTCCCCAGCTGTCTGGGTGCGGGGTGGGGGCACGCCTTTCTATTTCCAGTGCGTTGCGTCTGGGGATGAGCTCGCTGCAGACAGGGACAATTAGAGTGCGTGGCAGGGGCGTCATCAGGTGGAGCCGGCAGCTTGCCACCGCAGGTGCCAGGCAGTTAAATTTCATTTTAATTTCAGATAGAGTCGTTCCGCACCCACCCTGCCTTTCCTGACATTTCTGCCACTCACTGTGCAGCAGGTGTTCTCAGTGCCTGGTGGGACCGCGAGGGCAGCGCAGCCGAGTGGCCGCTGTCGGGAGGGAAGCTGCACACACTCTCCGAGCCAGTGCCCACGGACCTCTTAGTTACCAGTGTCCTGGAGGCGAGGCCAGGCCCTGGAGGGCACAGACCCAAGGCTGGGGGTGGGGGCAGTGAGTATAGCAGCCCTGAGTTCTGTGTGGCTGGGGCTGGGGTCAGGCGGAGAGCTCAGGAAGGCTGCTCCTCAGGACAGGGCACTAGGCCCAGGGCAGGGCAGGAGGGCTCAGGGAGGCCCGGGCAGCCCTAGGAGGCAGAAGCTTTCCTGGGCCGGGGGAGACACTTGCTTCCCAGTGTTCCCAAGAACTGTACACACTCCTGCCATCCGCCCTGCTCACGTGCACCACCCACCCCCGTGGGGTGCAGTTCTCCACAGGGCACGATGATCCCCTGTCTGCACCCTGGAGAGGAGTAGCCAGGAACCAAGGGGCAGCTGGCTGCATCTGAGCATGGGTATGTCTGTCCCCTGTCCAGGGGTGAGGCACCCTGCAAGCCCTCAGCTGCCAGTCAGCGCCCCATCACCCGTGGTACCTTTGTCCCCTGCATGTCCCCCTCGGCGTGCACGGTATATGGGCAGCCGTCTCTCTGTGGGTTCTCTGAGACGATGCGCACCTCCACTTGGGGCAGGGGGTTCCCCACGGAACCTGCAGCAGGGATGTGGACCAAAGGCAGCAGTTAGGACCCGAAGAGGACCCCGCACCGGGACTCTGGGTTGGGAGGGAAGATGCAGGGACCTGTCGGGGTGTGTGCTGAGCGGGCCGGGCCTGGGCAACAGCTGCCCCTGACAGCAGCAGGTGCCCCAGCGCCCTGACGCTTCCGCACAGCTGACTAGGGCCTGGGAGTGCTCGCAGCCACTGTGGCAGGTACATGAGCAGGGGCTGATGTGGGCCAGGAAGAGGAGAGAGCAGGCCTCACTGGTGCCCCTGAGAGGCACGGGGCCGGGAGCAGATCCAAGGGCAAGCGGGGTGCTGTGCACCGCGGTTTACCTGTTAGGCACTGGGGTTTGTTTGGTGCCCTGGGCTACCCCCACCCTGTGTACCATACAGGGGAAACATGCCCCAGAGGTGGGAGGTGTCAGTCCGCACACTCCGCAGCCCATGCGCTCTGCTCAACCCAAGACGGCGCTGGTGCAGCACCCTTCTGCAGGGTCTCGCCAGGCCAGCAGAGGCTGATCCAGAGTGACCCTGGTTCACACGACAGCAGGGCCAGTAGAGCAGGGTGGGCAGGGCACCCGCACACAGGTGCCAGACTGCTGTCTTTACCGCCACTCCCCAGAGCTCGCTCTGTGGCTCCTGGGCCTTTATTTTTACCACCAGTATCAGTGAGGACCCATTAGGGACAAAGTCTCCAGGAGGGCAAATTAATGCATTCCCACCACCCGGAACGGAGCCATCCACGCTAGCCTGTCCTGGGGAGAGGACCAGGCCCCCACCCCAGCAATCCTGCTGCAGAGGGCGAGGGGTTGTGGGCCACGGCGCCGTCCCCCTCCCGTTCTCTAGGCCACCAGTCCTGCAGCTCCTTCCCGGGTGTCACATCTGTCAGTGAGGGACCAGGTGGACAGGCGCCTGCCCGCCACGCTCTGGCCACAGGAGGCGCTCATGTGCAGCTCTTCTGTGACTTTGAGCTCTACTCTGCAATGGCCTGTGTGAAAGGAGGCAACCGGAGCCTCAGCGAGGACAAGCACAGGATGGGCGGCATCCGCTGAGCTCGGGCCTACACCTCCGCGTCCCCACTACTGGAGCGCAGCCCTGGGAGGCACCTGCCTGAGCCCTGAGGGCACCAGGCCCCATTTCCCAGGGGATCTCCCCAGGGGACACCGGGTCCACCAGCTCCCCAGGGCACATCCTCCCTCGAGCTACTTCCCTTCTGAATCCCACCTGGGCCATGCAGGGCACCTCCCACCCCTCAAGCCTCCAAGATGAGCACCCACGCTGTGCCCAGCAGGCCCAGAACTGCACTCAGGAGGATGTGGGGCTGGCAAGGACCTGTGGGTTTCCTGAGCCTGACCGTCCCAGTGGTCCTGAGATGTAGCCAGTGAGGAAAGCGGCATGGACACTGCCACAGGAGGGAGGGAGAGGGTGCCTGGCACCCACGGTCGCACTGCTGGGCGGGGGTACTGGCTGCAGGCAACAGAGGTGGCACTGTCAATCTCCCAGCGCCCACCACCCTGTGGGAAGGAGCCAGCTCTTCCAAGGTAACTTCACTTGGCCTCTGGCCTCTCCCAGCATCTGGCAAGAGAGGGATGCAGGCCTCGGGCCAGAGCCCCAGTCAGTGAGGGTGTTCTGGGCATCTGTTCTCAGCCCAGCTAGAGCGGTCAGCCAGGCTGCACAGGTGCAGATGGCTCACTGCCCTGTGTGGCACAGGAGGTGAAAGGCAGGCAGGGGAGTGGATCTCAGGCTCTCTGCTCACCCCAGCAACTGCCCCTGCCCCTCACCTTGCCCCTGCTATACCACCTTGGATCTCACACCTGCACAGGGATCATGGCCAGGGGAACCCTGGCGAAGGAGCGGCCAGCAGGAAGGATGCTCGGCTGGAGTCGGGGTGGGAACGTTTGTGCCCTGTGCCACGGAGGGGACAAGTCCATCCTGGCTAACCCCACCCGGCCCACACATCGGGCTGCAGCGAGGTGTGCAGCATGGGCTTCTCACACCCTCAGCGCTCACCCTCACACAGGGCTCTCTGCTCACTTTTCCCAAACCACCCCCAGGGTTAGTAGAGGTCACACCGTCTTCCAAGACACAGTGCTCCTGCACTCTCCAACATCTCTGGATCCCACACCTTGGGCAGCAGGAGGCTGCAGAGGCGGGAATCAGGGGCTGCCACCTGTGCCCCTCGGCGTGGATGACTTGCGGCACCGCCATCTGCGCCTAGCGGCTCGCTCTGCAGCTGCTCCTGTCACTGAGGCAGGGAAGGCCAGCATCCACCTCTCTCCCAACCCCAGCTGTCCCAACACTGTGCTCTGACAGCTCAGCACCAGCCACGTGGCCCTGGCGGCTGGGCCCTCAGCAGGGCTGCAGTGACGGCGGTGAGAACTCATGTGCCCCGCACACTCACAACAAACCCAGAGCGCGATGATCTCCCTGGCCCTGCAGGCCCAGCTGCCCACCAGCACTCCCTCCTCTTCCCACCTGTCCAGCACCTGCCCTCAGCACTGTGGCTGCAATGTCCCGGGGTCTGGGCCCCTGCCACCCTCCCCCAGCCCATGACCTCCGCCTGGCCCCCATCACCTAGACAGGGACCGTCACATTGTGCTGATGTACAGAGAAAGATAGAGCCAAAGCACTTCTGAGGATGAGCAGGGACCACCCGGCTGGGCGCAAAGCCACGTGGATGGCGGGCCAGGATGATGCCAGACATCACCAATCACTAGAGGGACGCGTCGCACAGACACCCGCACCCCCACCACACAGTCGGAGGTGGCAGCCTCTCGGGGATATGGGGCGAGCATGTCTGTCCCTGCAGGTGGGATATAGAGTGCCCCCCCACCAGGGCAGCTTCAAATACCTGGAAACACCCCAGCCAGGTGTGCGCCTGAGCGAATAAACCTGTGTGCACACAGAAAGCCTGCATGCATGTGCACAGTGCGGCCACCTGTGAGTAACGGCCCTGACTTAGAGAGAAGCCGACGTCCTTTGGGTGGGGACCAGGCTCAGGGCGATGGCACACAGACACCATGGACACTCTGTGATAGAGGGGGACAAGCTAGTGATGCAGGCAACATGCACCTCCAGGGAGAGGCCAGGGTGATGATGCTCAGAAAGCGAAGCCACAGGAACACGGTGCCACGCAGGTGGAGGCGCTGGCGTCAGGAGGGGCAGGGGCCAGGGCTCCAGGCTCCACGGAATACCTGCCCCCTCCTCCATGGCCCCCAGGAGAGCCAGCCCGTCCCTCCCTGTCCCCTCCTGATCTGCATGGAGGCGCGCAGGGGCTCAGACGGGCTCAGGGGCAGAGAGGAGGCGGCGGCATAGGCCTTGCATACCTGGCAGGCGAGCCCCGGCCAGGGGGCTGGACAGGGCCATGCCGACCTCAGTCATGCCATAGCGCTCCAGCAGCGTGTGGCCCGTGGCCCTCTTCCACCTCTCCAGCAGGGGGACAGGCAGGGCAGCTGAGCCCGACACCATGAGCCTGGGGATGAAGACAGGGTCAGCCTTGAGCACAGCCCACCACGGCACCAGGACATCATGCTTCTAAACTCAGAATGAAAACAGTTCAGGCTAAGGCAACTCTGCTTTTGGAGAGTACTTGGTGTATTTCAGAATGTGAACAGGTTAGAACAGAACAGTAGTTAAGGGTCTTTGGTGATGTCTTGGTAAAACCAAGCATGCCGTGCCCTAAACAACAGTAACAGGGCGATGGTGGCAACGAAGACCACAGGTAAAGGGTCTCGAGGGAGGCGCTGGTGACAGCCAGGCTGGCAGGAGGACACGATGCCGCCATGGGGTCACGACCCACAGCACCTCCAGGGCCACCTGGGGGGGCTGTGTTTGCCTGGGTGCCACACACAGGAGCCCCGATCTAATGCAGGGAGTGCAGGCCTGCACCTCAGCCAGTACCCGATCGTGTCACCCATGGACCCACCGAGCCTGGCTGGTGCTGGCGCTGCGGGAGGAGGTTGACAGCTGCAGCTGCCCCAGGGAACGGGGTCTCTGGCCCCTCAAACGTCGTCACAGAAGGGAGCAAACAGCAGCGAGCCATGCGGGGCAACATGCGGGGTCACGGGCTGTCCGGTCGGCAGGGACGGACAGAGTCAAGCAGGGACGGTGTTCCGCCGCGGCTTCCCCAGCCCTCACCTGGCAAGGGTGAGCAGGTAGCTGGGACATGCATGAGTCACACCTGCAATTTTATCCTGGCCTTTTTGTCCTGGGGATGGAACCCTGGGCGTCATGCAGCTAGGCAAGTGCTCTACTGCTGGGCTACATTCCCAGTCTCTTGTCCATACAGTTTTTTATTTTTTAAGTTAATTTATTTTTTGGCACCAGGAATTGAACTCATGACCTCGAGCTTGCCAGGCAGGCACTGTGGCTCTGGGCTATATCCTCGGCTACCCAGTCTCTTTTCAATATTATTTTGAGTCAGAAGCTTGAGTTGCCCCGGCCAGCTCCGTGTCCTCACTGTCATCATTTGCATGACGCAACACAGAGCAAGGGATGGAGACGTAGGGACAGAGGTAGCAATGCAGGCGGAGAGAAGGGTGGGCCTCAGGGGCACTGCACACAGGCCAGCGGGGATGCTGCAGAGTGGCACAAACGGGACAGGGCCCTTGGACGGCACGGTGGCCTTGTCAGGCACGAGCCACACGCACCCTGCTAGGCTTCTGGCCTGGCACTGAGGATTCGTCCTAGTTACCTGATTTTTTCTTCACAAACTGCACGCACGAAATCCTGGACAAGAGGCTGGGTGAAGTGCTGGTCGTAGTAATCCAGCAACTTGGAGTAAATGGTAGGCACGGCCATAAACACGTTAATCCGTGGAGTTTCAGAACTTAGGAACTTTTCCCAAACCTAGAAACAGGGAGGGGAGCCAGGTGAGGAGCCGGACGGCAGATGGATAGGGACGCATGCCGAGAGTGCCCAGGCCCACCTGCTGCTCCAAACAGCCTTCCTCAGTAGGGCAGAGGGCCAAGGTGCAGGGAGGCCACCCTCGCGGGGGACACTCATGTCTGGCATGGGAGGAGGGACAACCCAACGAGCAGAGCCGAGACCAGGGTCCTACTCTCAGCCAGAGCAGGGGTGGCCTGGGACCTCCTCCAGCTCCACAGGGAAGACCTGGCAACACACACTCGGGGAGCCAGGCAGCAGTCCCAGGGCCACTGCAAGGTGAGCCTGCACAAACAAAGCCGGGCTTCTGCTCATCAAGGAGCTCACACGAACAGTGTGGGTGACTCCATCACCACCTCTGCTTTCTACAAAGACAGTCAGATCATGCACCGGGCAGGTTTTACCACAATACCCCAGGGCAGGGCTCACCTACCAGGCACTGAAGACCATGGGGCCCAGGTCAGCACCCTCTGACCTGCCTGCCTTGCAGTGACTCCAGTGCCCTGCTGCCCAGCGAAAGGCCAGCATCTCTGAGACACTGCTGTGTTCCCCGTGCCTAACCCTGAGCCCTTGAGGAAGCAGGGCCGTGGCTCCTGCTTAGGGGGCGCAGCCCTGGCAGAGCCTCGGCCAGTGCGGGAGCCAGGATGACCGCACAAGTGCCCAGGAACAGGACTGCGGGAGGGAGTCCAGTGCCAAGGTGCACAGAACAGGAGGAGGGTGGCCTGGGAGGAACCGCAGAATCTCGGGAAATGCCGTTGTGAAACTGGACGGCCCATTGCCTGAGCCAGGACAGGCTGGCCAACGTGGCGACAGACACAGACGAGGGCAAAGAACCCACACATATGGATTTGCGTGACACCAGGAAACGGCCTAACGGGCCATCACCATGGCCGGGAGGGGGACTGTTAAACGCAGCTCTCCCTGACTGAGCTATGGCTTCAACGCAAATCCCCAGTGAGCTTCACCAGGCGGAAGCTGACGAGCAGACTGACATTTTACGTGAAAGGCAGAGAACCCAGAGGAACTGAAAGAGGTCTGCAAAGGAACAGTCAGAGTGGAGAATGCACAGCTCCCAACTCCAAGCCCATGCGAGCAGCAGCCGCCAACAGCGCGTGGCCCTGGTCAGGATGCCAGACCGGGGGCTCAGGGCAGTGTGTCCAGGCGGGGACAGTCCCAGGCCCAGGTGGTACATAGTGACCGCCGGGGAAAGGAGGACCTTCCTAGCCAAAGGCACCAGCCCACAGGACACCGGGTCAGCTGGCTCCGGGTCCTGTGCACACCACCCCTGGGACGGGGCTGGAGACTGACGCGTGCACACTCAGGTCACAACGCTCCTAGGCAAAAACTAAGAAAATCTTCAAGACCTTTGGTTTGGGGAAGAGTCTGGGATGTGCCACCAGAAGCATAATCTGTAAGATTAAAAAGTTGCTAAAATGGATGTTATCAAAATTAAATACACATGCTTCAAAAGACACCATTCAGAAAACATGAAGAGCCAGGCATGGAAGAACACATCTGTATCCCAGCACTCAGGAGGCTGAGGCAGGAGGATCACAAGTTTGAGTCCAGCCCGGCGTCCCTAGCAGGACCCTGACTTGGGGACGCAGCTCGGTGTGAAGGCCCTGGGATTCCCAGTGTCACAGAACAGAAAAGACAGAAAACGAAGTGATGCAAAGAGCGATGGTGGTGTGAAACGCTCCATATGTTGCCGCGTCCTGTGTAGCTCATGGCTCTCGAGGTTCCTGGGGGAAGGACAGGGAGAGGATGGAGAAATGAAGACGAGACAGAGAGCAGCGGGCAGGGAGCCCTCTCCGGCCGGAGGAAGGACCTGCTCAGCCACCCAGGCCGTTTACTCACACTCTCAGGAGCTGTTGTCCCTTTCAACCCCTCTGCCTAGCAGCTCTGCGTGCGAGCCTGAGCCCCTCCTGTTCTGGGAGCTGGAACAGCTGCTTTCGTAGCTTGCCGTGCTCAAGTGTGACTGATCTCCAGCTTTAGCCCTCCCGACAACAGGTACAGGGCACTCAGACAGCAAGAGCCAGGCCACAGGGGCGCTCTCTCCCAGGCAGGGAAGCTGCCATCCTGTAATCTTCCCAGGCAGAGGCCCGAGCTGCCCCGGCTGAGATGAGAGATGCTGACAGTTCCCGCCAGACCTCGGTGCCCATGCGGGGAGCCCATCACAGGACACCCGCTGCACAGGAGGAGGTGGAGGCGGAGGGCTGAGCCCAGGAAAAGCGTAGCACGCCCGAGGGCAGAGTGGGCCGCAGCCTTCCTGCTCTGTGCTGCCCACGGATGGCGGGGAGGACACAAACTGCACGTCTCCAGCTCCCTGGCCATCGAGCCGCAAGCACAGCAGGTGAGGCCAGCCTGGCCCATGGGCAGTGACCGTGCTGCCCACATGGCCCGGCTTGGTGGACCCTTGCCTGGCCCCATGCCCCCTCCAGCCCCTCCTGCCCCAGGAGGATCCTTGCCTGGCTGAGCAGTACAGGTCCCCGCTGCAGCATGGGTCACTGGAGGCTCCTCGGGCCCCACTCCTTTGACCCTGTCTGTGACGAGGCCAGGGCCCGGACGGCTGCTGAGCAGAGGAGGCAGACGCCCAGGGTGATGCAGAGCCCTGGCTGCCGAGCCCCAGGGTCACCCTGACACAGACACATGGGTTGGCCAAGAAACGTGCAGCCCCAGAGGGGCTGAGAGGCTCTGCTCTTTGGGGTGTTTAGTGGCTGACCCTGTGCCTCGTGTGCACCATTGGTGACAGCGTGACCCCATGCCCAGTGCATCCACCCCCATCAGCATAGGGACCCTGCTTGGCATCACCTCCCTGCCTCCTGAGGTGTCACTGGGAGGCAGCAGGACGTCACCCTGAGCCAGGGCCACTGTCATGGAGCTGGCTGGTGGATGGAAAGGGCCCCATAACCCGAGAATTCACCCAGGGCTGCATGTCCCTCCAGGACATCCCAGCATGGCCACACTTTCTGGGCTGTAAGGTCTTGTGGGTCCCTCCATATGAATCGACAAGCATTTCACTCCTGAAAGCCCCTTCTGAGGCACAGGGCCACAGGCTGCTGCATAGGGCCCGGCCCAGCCCAGACAGACAAGTCGGCTGCGCCTGGTCATGGTGTGCAGGAGACCTCGGGGGCTGCGGAGCCCAGCCGAGCCCCACCCAGCACACTGCCCCAGTACAGTCCTCAGACGCAGCCCAAGCACGGCGTCTGCAGCCGGCAAAGGATCCAAGCCCAGCCACTGACTCCCACCAGCCTCTGCTCTTGGGGTAACAGCGCTGTGGCCCATGGGTACATCTACCCCCACCCTCCTGTGCCACTGCAGACATAGACAGCCTGGTGCCCCCGGAGCAGGGGACCTGAAACACCACTGTGGGCCCTGTCACTTCCCTTTCGCCTGCGCACTCGACCTCAGACCAAACCCTAAGAGCTAGTACAGCAGAAAGCAGGACGCCGCTGATACACGTTTGTAAATTTGCAAAAACCTAAGCTCACGGGTTGCAGAAGGGAGCGCTGTGCTTTCTCACCCACGGGGTGGGTTTGTCTTCATACTGCTCTGACTGCACAGCTTCGAGAAAACCCCAGCGAGGTGTCGAGAGGGTGGAGGGCTGAGGCCTGGCTCCCTCCAAGGACAAGGGGCTCTGCGTGTCGCCAGACCAGCAGAGACCCACCCAGCAGCTCCCAGCTCAGCAGCCAGCGCAGGGAGAGGCAGGTGGAGGAGCCGGGCCTAGGGGAGCGCCAGCCGCTCTGGGGATCCTACGGACTTTCTCAGCAGGCATGGGAGCCCCCCACCTCACCCTGTCCAGACAGCACCTGGGGCTGCTGCCCACATGCCCACGGCAGGTTCTCCCGAAAGGGCTGAGGCAGACCTGAGAGCCTGACCTTGCTCCAGAGCCAGGCCAGACACCTGGGGTGGGGGTGCAGGCCAACTCCCTGGAGCCCAAGCCCTAGGCTCCCCCAGAAAGAAGGACCCCAGGGGACCCGCGGGGACAGCAGCACCCAGAGGTTCCCACCACTGCTCCAGCTTGCCAGATGCCGTGGTGGGCCCCGTTCCTTGTGCATGCGCACAGGTGGGACTGCGATTGGGTGTGAGGCGTAGAGCCTGTGGGGAGGGCCTGGGCCTGGAGGGTGGGGAGGCGCCTGTGGGGAGGGCCGATTCCTTGGGGCATGGCCTCGGGGAGGAAGCCCACCCAGGGACTCGGGTTCCAGGCTGTGCAGTGAGCAAGGCTGTGGCAGGGAAGACAGGAAGTGCCCGGTGGCAGCAGAGGGCACGGCCCACACTCTCGCTGCCGGGCTCTGGGGCCTGGGACAAAGCTGCCTGCCTGGCATGGATGGGAGCCCAGGCCTGCAGGGGGCTGTGTAGGGCCGGGTGGGTACTGTGCAGGGACCATCGCATCTGACCCCCTCAATACAACTGGATGCAAGAGGTCTCCCAGACTCACTGCTTTTCCCCCCAGTACTGGGGAGTGAGCCCAGGGCCTTTACACTGAGCTCCATCCCCAGCCCTTTTTATTTATTTTGAGACACGGTCTGGTCAAGTTGCCCAGGCTGGGCTTGGGATTGCAGTGTGTACTGCCAGGCCTGGCCAGATTCACTCGTAAGACTGCGTTGCCCCATCAACAAGAGCTGCACTTGTGCTGGGGGTACAGCTCAGTGGCATAAGTTCTGGCCTGGCAAGCACAAGGTCCTGAGTTTGATTCCCGGTACCAAAGAAAAGAGCTGCACTTGCAACAGGAGGCCTGTGGAAAGGCCTTTGCCTCCAGACATGCGCCTCGGTCGAGGTCCGCTCAGCTCACCCCTCCCTGCCCACACAACCTTTGAGCCTATCCACATGCACTCAGTATTGACGGACAGACAGGCGGCCGAGGAGTGTCCAGGCTGAAGGCACAGCCACCCCAGCCTGCGGTGTCACGGTTGTCCCTACGGACAGGAAGGCTACAGGTCCGGAGAGGTCACATGCCCTGTCACCGAGTCCAGGGCTATATCTGGACACAGTGCGGCCTCCCTGTCCAGAGCGGGTCCCAGGCCCATGGCTGAGCCCACGCCTCACAGGTCACACGACACACAGCATAGGATGCAGCTCCACCCACTCCACTCCTAGAGGTCACCGAGCCTGGCCCTGTGCCCACCGCAGCCTGGGGCAGCGGCAAAATGCTGGAAGGGACAAGCGGTGAGACTAAGGAGTCCCCCAGCTGGACCATTCACCTGAGGGACAGAGAGCAGGCTGGCTGCTGACAGGGACCAGTGTCCGTGTCCTCTTCCCTGTACCCTGAGGCCACCACCTGCATGGGGAAAGGGGTGCTGTGGGTGGGGTGCAGAGGGGGACGATCTTGCGGGAGAGCAGAGGGCAGCCAACTGCGGAGGAGGAGCCACACCACCACTGAGACAGTGCGGAGAGCGGCCCAGGATGCAGGCAGTGCCAGGGCTGAGACTGGCCAGGTGAGACCCCCGGAGCCTGTGCCGTGTGCCCGCCTCACAGTGATGCTGGCTCCAGCAGACTTCGCCAGGCTCCAGACTTTGGGAGGCGGGTGCTGCTTCACCCCGGGTCGCCCCTCCAGGATCCCCGGGCCCGGCCCCCAGTGTCTGCCGCACCCCACTCACCTGCTGCGCGTTGAACTCGGGCAGCATCACGCAGGTGGCGCCCACCCAGAGCGGGCACAGCAGCTTGTTGACCACGCCGTGCACGTGGTGCAGTGGGAGGACATGCAGGATCACGTCGTCGCTCGTCCATGCCCAGGCATGCACCAGCCCGGTCACCTGCAGGGACATGGCACAGCTTGAGGACATTGCGGGTTTGGGGGGCCTGAAGGGCGGAGGAGGAGGACAGGAAGGAGGGGGGGAGGGGCAGCTGTGCTGGGAAAACTTGGTGGCTGAGCAGTTCTGCCCTGATGGACGCTGGACCACGGAGCACAGAAATGGCAGCAAACGGAAGACAGCAAACACAGCCTGACTCCCAGGCTTGGTCCCAGTCGCATGTCTGGGTAGCCAGTCTCTGAGAGACCCCACCCCAGTGCACAGCACACAGAGTCCGCGCTACTCTCCACGAGCCTTACATCCTGGGGCACTGCTCGGCAGTCCGTCTCTCCACACACGGTGCCTCGCTGCCCCCTCCCCACGACCCTCCGCCACCAGGTACGTCAGTACTACGGCACAGTCCGCCAGGGGAGCCCCAACCCAGGTGGATGGGGCCGCACTCACCATGGCTGTGAGGTTGCGGTGGGTGCTCAGCACGCCCTTGGGCTGCCCCGTGGTCCCACTGGTGTAGAAGATCATGGCGCCCCGGTCTCGCCACTCACACTCCTGCACTGGCGCCACCACTGGCTCCCCCTCTGCCCCGTGGTAGACAGTGGGCGGGAGGGGTAGGAGTGGCACCCCCAGCCTCCTGGCCACTGGACCCACCAGCTGCACATGCTCCGGCCCGGCCAGGACCACAGAGCTCCGCGAGTCCTGGATGAAGTACTCCAGTTGTGCCTCGGGGTGCTTCCGGAAGAGGGGGACTGCGATGCCGCCACTCATCCATGAGGCCCACTGGGCGACGACGTAGGAGACGTCGTTGGAACACAGGAAGGAGACCCTCTCATCCCGCAGGTCTCCGTCCTCGCAGCCGAGGAGCCTGCAGATCTCCTGGGACAGGCGCAGGCTGTGGAGGTACAGGTCCCGGTAGGTGTGGCGGCCATGCTGGTCAATGAGGGCGAGCCTGTCCCCAAAAGCCAGGGCCTGGGTGAAGACCGGGGCAGTCCCCCCCGAGTGGGCAGCAGGGACCGTGTGCAGGAGGTGGTGTCCTCGGTGCCTCCCGGGGGCTGGGCGGCAGGAGGCCGCGGTGTGGACCAGGCGCCGGAAGGGCAGTGCCACAAGGGGCGGCATGGCCCTGACAATCATCCTGCTGGAGTCCCCTGAGCAGCTGTCAAGGAGGGACAGTGTGTCAGTGCCACCAGCAGCCCCTCCAGGGTTGAAGCTCCCTGCAGACCCCTGACCCACAGGCCCTGCATGGAGTAAATTCCGTGCCTCAGGACTTCCGGTGTCCACGGTCTCAGCTCTGGATTTTACCTCTTTGGTTTAAAGTTTTCAAAAACATCCAAGACCCTGGTGCAGTGAAACACACTCAGCTAAGCCAAGGGGAAGCAAAGAAACTTCAGTGCCCTTGAGAGTGAATCCTCAGAGTAGGTTTGGAAACCCCAGCTGGGACCACTCGGTCAGAGGTGTGGGCGCCAGAGGAGATGTGTGGACCCTGGCACCCTCGGGCCACGCCTGGAGCCTCCCCCACCCCCACCATGTGCAGACAGTGCCAGGTCTTGGAGCGCTGTGGCACAGCTGAGCTTTATTACAGTTTTAAAATGTAATCTATTATGTTTCCAGTGCTAGAATGGAAGCCAGAGCTCCTCAAGGGCCAGGCAAGGGCTCTGTGTGGGACAGGTGAGTGGGGGCAGCCATGTGTCAGCTGGAGAGTTCGCCCACTGCCCCAGACAAGACCACAACCACTGACCAGCACAGCCAGCAAACATGCTCGCGGGAAGCCAGGGCTGTGGCCCCTTTCCAGCTCGAACAGTGTCACTCCCAGCCCACCCCAGCCCCGCTGAGTGGCCACCCAGGCTGGACACCTATCCGGCTCTGCACAGATGGCAGCGGACCGTGCAGGGCAGGACATGCGACCCTGGACCCCACCTCAGGCGGGAGATACCTCCTTCCCGGCTCTGACTTCAGTCCCTCGCCCTCTCCTTCTGCCTTGGCCTCAAAGTGAGAAGGGGTCACTGCCCTCCTGGGGAGCCCCTTGGGCCTCACTGCCCCCACCCAGAGTAACTTGTGACTCGGCCGCGGGCCCAGGAGGACTTCATGGGTGCTCTGCAGATGGCAGTAATAATATTTAGCTTCTTCAACATTTTCATCTTGTAGCATCTTCTTCACCAGCCAAGCAGTTGACAAAGTGACCACTCATCCAACCGCACACCCTGCTCCCATGCCAGATGGGCCCAGAAGTGCCTTCCCACTGGGCCATGCCTCTCCGTAAGCCCATGCTGCGCAGCACCCACTGTGGGCAGACTGACTGGGCCTGGCCCCGGGCCACTAGATGCCACTGAAAGCCAAGGACCATGTGCCACAGTCCCAGGCAGCCCGCAGGTGTGGGCCCGGCAGGCGGCATTTCTTGGGCAGAAGCTGTGTGCCTCGCCCTGTCCCTGCAGGCCCAGTGTGACCACGTGGCTGCCGCCTCGCCACCTCCAGGTCCTTGAGCTGGGCCTGCCCGGGATCCCTTCCCCATGTCTTGAGTGCCCGACAATCTCCCTGATCCTTGCGCTCTGGGGCTCCCTGGGAAATCGCACGCGCTCCTGCCTGGTGCACACACTATGCAGTTTTGCTCTCAACTCCGAAAGCAGAGGATGCACAACACTTCCTGATTACCTGGCAACCGCACCTCTGCCTTTTGCCAAGATCAGGTCTAACTACTCACAAAGCACCCCGCACACTCTGCGCTGGAGTTCTGCCCAGGCGCTGGCTTCTGCGTCTCTGTCCCCTCTGGGCAGCTGCTTTCTCCACCAGCCAGGAACTCAAACAGGGTTCCGAGCCCCGGCCAGGGCTGGAGGAGCCCACGCTGGCTTCTGCCTAGCTCTGTGGTCCTCGAGCCTCCAGCCACGGGCAGCCACCTTGCTGTCCACATGAGCGGCTGCTCTTCCACAGGCCTGGTCTGCCCACAGCCTGGATTTGAAAAACCGAACAAATGCAAGGGAGCAACAGGGTGTGGGTGCGAGGGGAGTGTCCTGGGCAGGCAGGCGTGGGGCCTAGGCTCTTTTTCCTTCTTCCCTGTCTGGTGCAGACTGAACCACGGAGGACCCGTGCACTGGAGCGCAGAGCCCGGAGGCCAGAGCCCGGAGGCCGGCTGTGCTGCGTCTGGGTGCAGCTCCCAGATTCCCCCTGCCGAGAGCCTGAGAGACGCCCGGGAACCAGGAGCAAGGGGTAGGTTTTCTGCAGTGTGGAGGGGCAGGGCGCCCAGGCAGGTGATGTCCAGCCGGGCATGGCGCTGAGCCCTCTCCACTTGCCCAACAGGAAGCCACACACAGCCTGGAAACAACACCGGTCTCCTCCTGGCCAGGGCGCAGGGCCCCAGCGCCCCACATCCCTCCCGGGGCCTGGGGTCTGTCGGCGTCAGGCGCCCAGTGCTGCCCCCAGAGGTCCAGTGCTGATCCTGCAAGCCAGCGCCAAGGAGGTGCTCAGGGCCACCCACAGGATGTGCCCCACCCCACCCTGGGGAGGCCAAGGGCTCGGCCCAGCACTCAGGGTTCTTCACCGTCGCATCACGAGTGGCAGAAGACTTGGGGGTAGATGAAGCCCTCGCGTGTCGGAGACTCCAGGTCCAGGCAGGACCCTCACACGGCGTGCGATTGAACTCTGAAATCAGGGAGGCCTAAGCCCTGGCCCCGACTGCAGACAGCACCGCAGTGCTGGTGCCCGGGGCTCAGTGCAAACTGCCAGTGCGGGAAAATGTCTTAGCTAAAGTATAAGCCTTAGAGGGTAAACACCCAAGGTTTGCCAGGTAATAGGAATTATGGGTAATTTTTATTTTCTTAGAGCTTCTCAATTTTTTCTACCTTTTTGTAGCTGAAAAAGAAAGGTAGTAACACTTATTTTTTAAAAAATAGAGATGCTTCAACTTCACCATTAATTTTTTGGTACCAAAAAACCAAACCAAAGCAAAAAAGACAAAACCAGGCATGCACTCAGGGAGGCTGAGACAGGAGGATCACAAGTGTGAACGCAGCCTGGGCAACTTAGCCCTTTGTGAGACCATGTCTAAATATTTATTTATTGGTCCTAGGGATTGACTCCAGGGCCTTTACAACAGAGCTATGTCCTCAGTCTTTTTTTATTTTTCATTTTGAGACAGGGTCTCACTAAGAGCACAGGCTGGACTTGAATTTGCAATTCTCCTGCCTCAGCCTCACAGAGCGCTGGGATGACAAGCGTACACCAGCACATCCCGCAAAACCCTGTCTAAAAAATAGAAAATGGTCTGAGAATACAGACTTAGGGACGAGTTCTTTTCTGGGAGAACATTTGTAAATCTGACAAAGTGAGTCGCTCACACCTCTGACACAACGTAGAGCATAAGGAAACCGCATGTCCCACAAGATCATGCTGTGCTCTTGAACTGTGCCCGTGGCGGGGCTGTTCCCATGATAAGAATGAGTGGCGCCAGCCACCTTCTGGCCTCAGTCCAGTCTCTCTGTTATCTTCACTTTTGTTTCCACGGTCACCGCTTGGCCTGTCCGAGCGTCCCCGCCACACCAGCACTGCTCTTCCTTCAGCTCCCGGCCTCCGGGGCTGACTGAGCACCACACAGCTGCACGGCAGAGAGCGCCCAGCACCGCCATGACGCTGTCCAGGGGATGAGCGAGCTACTCCCGCGATCCGCTCTCCTCAAACAGTGTGTGTAATGCAGGGCCCTGGGGTCTGCGAAGGTTCACAACTTGAAGGTCTTTAACTTGGGGACCGATCGCTTGGCTTCAGTCCCCCATATGGCAAAGGAGAGAGGGGATTTTGCTTTAGATGGTGGATATATAAGGTATTCGTCTCTGTAGTTGTTTCTCAAAATGACAGCAGTGAATAACAACGAGCCGATGCCGTTCTTCTTTCAATTACACCTGCTGGTTCCAAAGGTTATGGAGACATTGAAGAACTAAGTGGTGACTGGGCGAGCTCAGGGTAGGTGCTTGGGTCTCTGGCCCTGGAGACCTGGGCCCCCCAGGTCCCACCGACTCCTGGGTCTGCCTGAGGGGTGGGGTAGAGCCCAAGCAGCCAGCCAGGCAGCACGGCAGTGGAATCATTGCAAGATTCAGGGTGGCCGAGTGGTTGGTGCTGGGATGCAGGGTAGGAGACGCAGCTTCCACTGGCGGTCTGGAGCCCTGAGGGTGGTGGCATTCCTGCCCACAGCCCCGAGTGAAGAGGGTCAGCTGGTGGTGGGACGAAGTGTGGGTCCAGGGAGGTAGAGCCCTGGGCAGTGGGCTCTGTGGGGAGGACAGCCTCTGGGCTGAAGGGCGAGGAGCCAGAGCAGGGCATGAGGAGAGGAGGAGGCACTGTGGGTCCTCTCCACCCTGACACAGGTTCCAAAGCCCCTCTAGGCCACAGCCGCACATGCCTGGCCTCAGCTCTGCCCAGGCGGACGTGTGCGGCTTTGCTGTGCGGAGCCTGGATGAGGCATGAGGTCCCGCAGGTTGGGGGATCACAGGACGCAGTGTCCCTGACTCCTCCAAGGGGTGAGACCCTCTTGGCTTTCTAAGCCAGACCTCCAGGACACGCCACCCTCTGGCTGCTCCCAGCACGGAATGACCGCATCTTTTCCACGCAGACAGGATGCAGGGAGGGCAGAGCTGGGCGACCACACAGGCCAGGTGGGTGGCCACCCTTCCCTGCTTTGCTTCACCCACATACACCTTCCCCTCCCTCTCGCGAGGTGGACAGGAATGCCGGTCAGCCTTGGCCCCTCACCGGAGCCCGCCCACAAAAATGACTCCCTCAGAATAATAGCTGCATTCAAACAGAGCTGGTGGCTTCTAAATGAGCAAAACCGCACCTGGCAATCAGCCCTGGCCCCGGGCCCCGGCCCTCAGCCCTCTGGACCCTGGCACTTCCTGTCCTTGGCTGGCATGGGCCAGCAAGATGCAGACACCGCTCCTACTGGAGCTCAGGGTGTTTGCTCAATGCACATCAGTGGTTTCAGGGTTTTCAAAATTACTCTTTTAAGTAACAGAGGTCATGCTGCATTCACGAGCAGAACATTTAAATTACAAAACCCAGAGGGAAAAACAGGCTTGATACAACACCCATTCCCGGAAGTGAAGGGGCGCTTATACATGCTACCTGGAATGGCCTGTGCGCAGCCCCCAGCCCCGCAGCTCCCTGTACAGGGAGGAGGAAGGACGGGGACGGGACCGGGAGCCCCAACCACACAGCTCGCCATGTGCAGGCAGGATTCGCCTCCTTTCACTGTAGCCAGGTTCCCACTTGGCTGCAAACCTCCAGCCCGAGGACGGAGGACCGTGAAGGACTGAGCTGCACGGCACAGCGTCAGAGCTTCTCCTGCCCCGTCCTGAGCACCCTCATCCCCTTCCTTGAACTCCTATCCCTCCGTGCAGCCTGCAGCCCTGCACCTGTGGCCCCAGTGCCCAGGCTGGTGCTGAGCTGCTGATGGAGCAAGGACACAAGTTTGGTCTACACCGGTAGCATGGTGACCCCAGCACCCCCAATCTGACCTCCACACCTGCCCTCTCCCCACTGGGCCCCGCACTCACCTCCCTCGCCCTTGGAGTCTGCTGGGATCACAGTGTAAGTCTAGTTGCAGGGCAGGCGTGGGAGGAACTGCGTCCGTCAGCCAACATCATCCCCAGTGAGTCGTGTCCGTCACCCCTTTGTGTCCCCGAGAAGCGGTGCCCTTGGCAGTAAGTTCCAGGTGCAAATGTTCCGGCCTATCCAGGTTCCTGTGTGCAGACGTCACCAGGCCCCTCTATCCTCCACTGGGCCCAGGGCAGTATTGTGTAGTATTCATTTAACGAGGCAGTCAGGGACCACAAGGAACCAAGGGCCTGTGAGAGTTATGCACCCACCTGCCTCACCCTCCCGAGAGAGAGCAGTGTTCCCCCTACCTGTGGGTGCCCGACCTGAGGTCAGGTGCTGTGCCCTGCCAACGCCAACAGGAAGGAAAGCCACTGCCGTTTCTCTGGCCAGGATGGGCACTAGATGGGAGACACCTTTGCAATCGTGGGGCGTCCATGCCAGCCCACCCGGGACCCCATGTGTGCATGGAGGAGCTGCCATTGGGGAGCTCAGCGGATCACCATCAGCGCCCACCTTCCCTGCCCCGAAGCTCTGTCTGCCCACTGTACTCTCCCTGGCCTCCTTTCCAGTGGTTGCAGGCAGGAAAGGACATGATTCCAAATCCACAATCACAGCCAATGTCAGTTTTTGTTTCTGGTTTTGGGGATGGAACCCTAGCCTCCTGCGTGCCAGGCACGCTCTGCCACACAGCCACACCTCCAGCCCTCTTTTACTTTTTTTGTTTGGTTTTGTTTTGTCTTTTTGAGACAGGGTCTCGCTATGCAGTTCAGGCTGGCCTTGAGCTCACTTTGTAGCCCAGGCTGGTCTCAAACTTGCAACGATCCTC